GTGGCTGATCCAAAGTTTGGATGTGCAGAGAGCAGGCTGGATTATTGCGGAGTAGAAATGGATGGACGGCTGCTGAGCTGGTTCAGGAAGTTCAACCTGGAACCAGCGAGCAGATGAAAGCTACCAGCTTTAATATTAAACGAGCTTTGATTTGAGAAGCCGCGTATTGTCCTGACTGAATCTGCTGTGTGTTCACTGTCTCCTGCACGTGTTGAGGTCTTTTCTGTCTGTCTGTGTCTCCAGCATAGACCGAAACGACAGCAGGTATCCACGTGACATCATCTTTGCCGAGTGCCTTTGTAAGGGATGCATCATCGACGGGCACGAGGTGAACGACTACAACTCTGTGGAGGTTCGGGCTCCGATGGTGGTCCTGATGAAGACCAAGTGTAAGGACGCAGACACATATCGAGTCCAGAAGACGCGTATCGAAGTCCCGGTGGGCTGCACTTGTGTAAGGCCCAAAATTACTAAGTGATCTGAGAAACTAAGCTTTACTCACACTGAAGGCCATTTATAGCTGTGCAGCACCTTCACTTACACTATAAGAATATTTATCACAGCTTTATGCCTGCATGTGAAAATGTTTTCTGTAAGTAGTAGTAGAAGATTTTCTGTCCTGAAGCTGCCAGTCCACACCACAATATGTCAGCAACTATCCAGGCCCGTTTTGGCCTGAATAGTTGAGAGAAACTAACCGTGATCGGTCATTCTGGAGTCTTAATCATAAACAGCACCAACACTAAAGCGCAGACAGACTCAGAGGCTTCACGTCCTCAAAGAGCCTCAGACCTTTGCTGTGTGACAGAAAACTATTACAGCTGCTGCGCTGCTTTGTGCAAATACATATCAAGCTTATTTAATATAGCACTTTATCTCCAACTACCTGTAACTTTCCTTCGTCATTCAGACGTTACTTGCAAGTGAAAACTGGTGGTGACTTCTTTTTGTTTAACCTCCTAGGACCTGGCGTCCACATACGTGGACATCGCATTTTGGGTCGTCTTGACCAAAATACTCAATTTTGCTCTACAAGGGCCTGATATCCACTAACAAGGACATTATACTGCCACTGTTCTATCGAAATTTAAAATGAATGTCCTCATATGTGGATCTAATTTTTCTCAGAAACAAAAATCAGGTAAAAAAACCAAAACAAAAACAAAACAGGTAATTCTTTGTTTTTACATCCATCAGGTCCCAATCAGCCCAAATAGCAAAGAGAAATTAAAAATGCATGCCATGACAGAGTTTGGGTCTTAGGAGGGTAAAACTGAGTTGTGATGAAGACGGATCCATCATCCGTCCGAGCATCAGTCTGCTCTGTAGAGTTTAATGAGTGACTTAAATCAGGCAGGACTGCAGTCAGTCAGGTTTTTTGATTATTTCTTGGAATAACTCGTCTGAAAGCAGCTTGTTTCCACCTTTCAGTAAACGTCCAACCAACAGACCAGAAACTCCAAAGAAAGTGAGATTTCTTCCCATGTTTTTTTAAAATTAAAAAGTCTCTTTTTCCTCACACGGTTAAAACTGTGAGACCTGCAGGTTTAACCTCTGAAGCACAGAGACTTCACCAAAGACACGAGGATGTGCTTTCACACTTTAGTATTTATTTTGTTGTATTTTATTGTATTTTTTGAGTAGTTTGCACATGCAGATTAATGTGAAATGCCACTAAAGCAGAGTGCCGCTGTAGCTTCACTTTATGCCAGAGCGGCTGGAAGCGTGAACAGAAGATGAATAGTTCAACATTTGGGCAAATTTGAGGCCAGGAGACGTTAGCTTAGCTGAGCACGAAGCCTCGAGTTTTAATGCAACGATGAGTCCAAGGAAAGATTTTAGTATGTTTCATTTACCAAAGAAGAAGCAGAGAGACAGTCAGCTGATCGACTGTTTCACGGTCAGTAACAGCATCATGTAAATGCACTGAAGAGTCCATAATTACTGTCGGGACTTCAAATAAATATGTTTTTAATGTGACTAATGTTGTTGTCAGATGGATGCAGAGCAGTAAAAAGCTGGTGAGGTCTCTGACCTGCAGCAGAGTAAAAGTCAGGATGCTCGAGCTCGGAACAAGTGGCTGAAAATCCTCTAAAGCTGACTTGGTTTGGATCCTGGCAGAAACGCTGTGAGCCTTTACAGAGACGCACCTTTTTCTGCTCAGCTAAGCAAACAGCTTCATGGCTCCACATTTAGCAGAGCGATGTGAGAGCGGTCCAACCCCCTCAAGCTGTGAAGGAATCAAATGTTAAACTATGCAAAACAGGACAGTATTGGGCACATGCACAATATGAAGAAGCTGCACATGAATTAGCTTTAAAGAGACTAAAAAGTAATGAAGAGAGGAGAATGAATGTGAAGAAATGTTTTAGTTTCACTATATTTCTTTGAGATATTGTTCATGTTTTTATTTATTTGTATTTTCATGTGAGGTAATGATGCAGATTTGATCCCTTTGAAGAGATTTTTAAAGCTGTTTTTGTCAAACTGTCAGTTTCTGCTGGATAAAGGTGTAAAGCAGGGGTGTCAGACTCAGTTTGCATTGTGGCCACATACAGCCCACCCTGTGTTCAAAGGCCCGGACCAGTGAAAGTGGCCTTTCTGTCAGCGTAAAGAAGCTTAAGTACATATTTAATCCCTGACATGTGTTCATATGAGACCAAGAAGGGCAGTCTGCACAGTACAGCTCAGTTTTTCTACGTGATAAATAAAAGCAGCTGCAGGAAAGAAAGAAACCTGCCAGCCTGACTCTTTGGGCTTAAATGTTCAGAGAGCTCATTCCTCACACTGTACTTATAAAACACCAAGTTTTTGTTAATTCACAGAAAACTTTTACTGTAGTCTCATTATTGAAAAAAAGAACTTTTCTGCCCTCAAACTGATTTTCTGTTATTTTATTTCTGTGTTATAGTATGAATGTGGATGGTGGACGTCGTTATCAGTAAGAAAAGCTGCAAACTTATGGAAATACAGTTCAAAGGGCAAAATGTATGCCTTCCTTCACTTGTTCCACCGGCCGAATTAGAGTCTTTGCTGGGCTACTTTTGGCCCCCCGAGCCTCCTGTTTGACACCCCTGATATAAAGACACCTGTGAACTTTAAAATTGTATTTTTATTTATTTAACCAGGAAAAATAAATCTCTTGAGATTAAAATTTCTTTTACGAGAGTGCCCTGGCAAAGAAGCACAAGGACTGACTTTTTGCTTTAGTTTGTGTTATAAATGTACCGTCAAAGCTTTGTTTTTATTTCTGTAATCTTTACGTTATAATTTCAGGAGAGTTTAGAAGCGAACCGGGTGTTTGCTGACATGAAGCCGCGTTTATTTCATTTACACTTGTGAAATCCTCCCTGACTCCTGTGCGGCTGATCGTTTCACCTCAAAACGGTTCAACATCTCCTTAAAAGAACATTGTGTAACTATTTTACTGCCAATAAATGAATTTGTTTCTATGATTTGTCCTTTTGTGTCTTTTCTGTAAGTCCTCACAAGTGTCTACATACAGCAGTTTCCTTAATCTGTCACATGGGGGCGCTGTTTTGCATAGGGTCAGCATGACCAGTTTTGGATTCTTTGCGTTAAGACGCCGGGGAATCTATCTTCTGAACTGGTTCGGAAATCCAAGATGGTATGATCTGTCATCTTCATGCTTCCCGTCCTTCCGTCATGACAGGGATAAATGTAAGGAATGTGGAAGAGCACAGACTAAATGTAACGACTGCAGTGGACATGTAGGGAACAAAGGTGGTGCAGAGGTGTTGGGTGGTTATGGCATTAAGGAGAGAAATCCTGATGTGCAGCATCTTCCGTGAAACATGGAAATGGGTGTAGAAGGTGCAAGGCGGTGTCAGATGGTAGTCTGTAGGATGGCTTTAAGGAAGAAGCAAGCGAAGGCAGAGGCAAGGATTAAGTGGTGGAAGTTACAGAAGGACAAATGTTGCTCAGAGTTCAGAGAGGAGGCACAGGATGACTGGGAAAATACGTCTCCAGTCCAAATCCCAAAATACTCCAGTACAAGGAGTATTTTTGGATTGGAGTATTTTTACTTCAGAGCTGCGCCTCATTCAGGGATTGTTGGGAACTTGTGTTACTGCCCGGCAGACTAAGATAAGCAGACATCGCCACCAACTGGACAAAATTATGTGGACAAGTGAGGACAAATGATCTCAGCGAGGCAGAATATGTTTAATTTGACTTATTATTGCACCCACACAGGACACTTACATTTCCAGCTCATTCATCTGCTGCTTCAGTTCTTCATTGTTTGGATTTTGGGCAATAACAACGTTGTTATTGGTCTATAGAAGGACAATCAATTTCTCCAAGCTTCACTGTAACAGTAAAATCATATTTCATTGGTCCCTCTATGATCATTTCACTGAGCATGATGACTTTTATTTTTTAGTTTTTTGGTTTGTTCTGTTTAATTTATTTTGACCATGTAAACACTACAAAGAAAGCTCATAAAATAAATCAAATTCACTCCAGCTGTTCTGATTGGCTTGCCCTCGAGAAGGAGTGGGAGGACGTGCACGCTGATCTGATTCCACCTCTTCTCCAAAAATTATCAGTTGACATTTATCCAGCTTCCTTACTGATATGAACCTCAATAAGAACATTTTTCTAATAAGCCTCTACGTAAAATGCAAATTATTATCATCCTGTTTTTGCAGCCTGCACACATCGAAGCTGAACAAATACTCCAGTGTTGGAACGTTTGCTGTACAATGTGAATACGGACAAAGTGGTCGCTAACTAAACCGAGACGTTCGCTAATATTCACCATTTTTATGATCTCATTATGACCTTTATGCCTCTTTTTTAAAGTGCTTCATGTCTGTGCAGTGCTCCACAACAAAAACACATGCTCTGACTCTTTCTGTTATACTTTTATTTCAATTAGATCTGCAAACCTCAGCATTTTAAGAACAATGAGTTAGTATGAATAACACTGAAAATGATGGACACTGTAGTTTATAGTTACTGCCCCAGACTTCTGCACAATGGCTTAAATAAGCTGAAAGCAGCGAAGAGTCGAGACTATGGAGTGATGTCAAATCTAATTCCCTTCTTTAGTACTTTAAAAGTATTTTAAAGTTTTATTTTAAAAAAAGCACTTTTAAAAATACTTTAAGTTAAGGTGAAGCATTAATTATCAAGCCTTTTAAATACAATGACACGAGTTCAGTCGCACTACTTGGTTTAGCTCAAGACATCAGAGAAAAATAAACTTTCAAAGGTTTAAACTGAAAACGTTTGTGTGATCACAGTCGACTACAAATAAAGTTCTGCAGCAGATCAAAACATACACGTACACCGTGTTCTCACAAAAACACAGTCAGACACAATCAAACACAAT